AAGTATAGCACTAGCCAACACTTAAAAAATTGTTGCTAGTTCACCGAGGATTGCAGATAATAGTGAAGACTTTCCGCTGCCAAACGATCCAACAATCGCGTGGAGTTCTCCCTTCTGTACATCCAAAGTGATCTGCAAATGAAACAAGTGTGGATTCTTTGTGAGTGTGTGGTCGAGACGTCATACATCTTTGAGATGCTCTTTTTCTTTGCCCCATGAGAAGAAGCAGTTGTCTAGCAAAATAGAAGGCTCTTCGTCATTCGCGCTCTCTCTTTGTCGAACAAGCTCGTCAGCTCGCAAGAAGTCATTGATTCGTTTACTACAGACGATCGCCTGAAATATGTTATGTTTCATCACGCATTCTAATAGGGCAACCCTTCCTAAAGTTGAGAAATGAATCATTAGAAGGAAAATCGAAAACGAAAGTTAGCTGTGGTTTTCTTTTCCATGAAATTTCACCTTACTTCTGATGCACATAGATAGTCACTACTGCACCACTTATAACACAATGTAACACCACATTTCGACTGCATGAATCGAAAATCACGACAGCACCCTTCTGCGAAAACATGATCAGTTAATGTTTCATTAACCCTATGACGACCGTATGGCCCGCCGGCGGGCCACGGCAACTCTTGTATTTCCTCCTTTGACATTTTTAGAATTTTCAATTACTAAATATGTACACAACATCCTAACAAGGCTATGTACACAGTGGTCCACGGATTGCTTTCTTCTGGGGAGAAACCCCAGAACAATAGGACAAAACACCTTCTAATGCTAATATTAGCAAAAATATCATCATTCCAACAAATAAGAACACAGATCATGTGGTGGTTTTTGAAAAACCAAAGCAGTTATCCTGTGGCAATTCTTGCTACAGTGATGAAAGCCCTTGCACTCAGTCGATAGGAACCATTCGTTGCGAGCTCCACCATAATTGTTTCTCTTGTAAAAAATATTGTCAAGTAGGTGTAATACAAATCAGCATGTAAGTAAAAGTAGGGTTCTAGTGGGTGCAGCAGATGGCTGCCTTGTCGAAAAGCCCAACTATTTCGAAGGCTGCAATCGAAGCCAATAAGTTGGAATTCAGCGTATGGTAGTAACCGTCCATTAAATAACGAAAGTTGGAAGAAGCGTTTGTTCTTATATCTAGTCGATCTTTTGTATGCAAATTTTGAGCAAGGAAACAACTTCTTTTTCGGTTGCTGCTACTTTTACAGTACCATCATAATACTTATGAATTCGAAGGTCTTTTGCAATCGAAGCCAATAAGATGGAATTCAGCGTATGGTAGTAGCCGTCCATTAAATAACGAAAGTTGGAAGAAGCGTTTGTTCTTATATCTAGTCGATCTTTTGTATGCAAATTTTGAGCAAGGAAACAACTTCTTTTTGGTTGCTGCTACTTTTACAGTACCATCATAACACTTATGAATTCTGAGGTCTTTTTCATTAGTCTTTTCATTACTTTGCTGATATTCCATCTGCGTTAGAATGTATGGTTGATTAGTACGATGATTTACTGTAGAAAGTTTGCAGTTTAGTCAATGTTGCTATAATTAAGCAAAAATGCGGTCTCCTGGGACCGTATGGCCCGCCGGCGGGCCACATGCGTGTCTGGCGTGCGGTCCCACACGCTAGACACGTTTAGAGCGCGCGGTCAACAAAGGGTTCAAACTCATTAGCACGCGAGAATGTTGCTCTCACGGGTAATGGAGTACAGTCCAACGTTAAACGCGTGGATATTGAGCTGTAAATGCGCAATTCTTGAATGCGATAAAGTGTCTTCAACAATATTCGACGTTTCAGAGTTATCGAGATGTGCATAGTGGAAGACGAAGACGATCAATTTCAGATGCAGCTGTGGTGGGAGTAATTCTGAGGCAGCTCTTTCAGTGGAGACATATACATACGTGTAGGTCTTTATTACTTTTGCTACGCTTTCTTTGTATACATGGTGATGAGATTGTAAAGAAAATCAAGAATGAATCAAACGATAAATTGAAGGAGAAAGCTTTGCTAAAGTAACGCGAGTAAGTGAGCATTCTGTCAATCACACCGTTCATAGTAACTTCGTGATGTGATCTATAGAATAAATGCAAAAATGGTGGAAAAGAAGTAGTGCACACGCGGAAAACTACAGGTTCATGAATGGCCAACCATGTTCAATTTTAGTGGGAGTTCCCCAAGTCACACGATTTCTCTAAACTCCGTTCATTCCCCGTTTTCTTTATGTTCTCATCGATATGTACATCTGAGATGGGTAGTGAAGGGAAATCGTATTTACACGTATGGAAAAGACTTGAATAAGTGTCAAGTATACAGTGTGGGCTGAAATTTTGAGGACAAAATACAAGGGGTGGATGCACTGGAAAACATCCCCCATAATATCAGGTTCACCGGTGACGACAAACATCGACAGCCCCACTTCAACGCGTTCAATTTGAAGGCGAAGCATAATCGCCTTTTTTCTCCTGTGGTCGTTCGACCCCACCTTGTGGAAAAAATCCACGAGAAAGTGGAGAATCTCGGGCGAATACTTTCAGTTCTGATAGCACTAACCTCATGCCACCGGAATACCGTTCGTTCCACTTTCTAGTACGCCTTCTAGAGAGAAATCTCACTGTAATCACCATTATGTTAAATCGACAACCAATGTTTCTTCGATCAGAACTCTATGAAATTCTACAAGAGGGACACTGAATACCCTACCCTCGCATTGGCATGTTGCTAATAATATTGGTGTATATCTTTGCTGAATAAATACATCAAGAAATAAGAGAAGTAATAAAATCGGAAAATCAGCGCAAGTGTCTCAGTAATTATGTGTCAACCTGATACGCTTAATTTCCATTTCAGCGGAAGCCACCGAAATTTGACTTTTCATTGCTATTACTTGTCATTTTGATGATACTTACAACTGTACCCTTCGGTAATTTGAACACATTGCACATCGTTGGGAACATACAAGCATCCAAGTGTTACGTATTGACAGCTCAATCTTCACGGATATAAGGTGAGTCGGGGACGCTGCGAAATCGCTTCCACGAGACGAAAAAACCCAAAACGTGCGTTGTTGTCAACGTCTTAATAAAGTTCACCCATCCATCCTTTAGAAAACTTTCCTCGAAATACTACTGACAATTGGCGTGGTATTCGTGAACTACTCTATTTGAAACTGTAACTGTAGGAGTTCAAGATTCCGGAGAATCAGAGTTCTCCTTAAAACCCTTGAAGTTCTTACGCAAAACAACCGTACCTTCGAAATGAATTGAACAGCAGGGGCGATGACAGACATGGGACGGCGAAGTTGGTTAAATATTGTTAACGTGACGAATGCAACTGATGGATTGAGGATATTGTCCGATGAAGAAAGCACAAACCACGAGAAACATGCAATGGCTACCTAAATTTTGACGTTACTCTGAAAAGTTTGATACATCCACATGCTAACATTTGTTCCTTTTGCGAAGTAGGCCCTTTCGTACTTTTTTTCAGATAAACACTCTCAACCAAAGCAGTTCGTAGGAGAAGGGCAAAATCACATTGCTGTTAAAGAGCGCTTGCAGTACAACACCGTATTACTATTAGTATAGGAGTAATTGTAACAATGGGCACTGTAGGCAGGAACCGAAAAAAATAGATAGTCGCTGAAGATAAAAATTTTTTTGGTCAATATGAAAGACAATAAAGTTTATTCAAGATTGGAGAAAATCCATAAGTAGCGACACTTCTTAAATCAAATCGAAATCGCGGCATATCTGCGCCAATCTGCTTCTTACGGTAAGTAGCATGTGCACAGGATGCAGAAGAATTCACATGAAGTAGAAGACAGACGACACTATCCATTCTTGAGCTTCAACAGTTACCCAACAAGATGGCAGAAAAAATTGCGTACAGAATTATGTTGCGTAATTCAACTTGTACGCTCCCAAGCCGTTGTTGGATGTTCCTACTTTGCGCGATTCTCATGAATGGTACCGTGCCCTCGACTGGAAAAAATACAACTGGAAACTCTGTATAGCTCCAGCCATACCTGAAACGTTCCTTTATACTAATGCTCAAATACACAGCTTACACGGAGTGTGGTACAAAAAATGTTGCCTAATGAGGCTGAAAACGAAGGCGGCAGGGGTGCGCTTCCAGAATAAGAAACTTTCTAGAAGAAAACCCCAAGAAGACCCGAGAAATGGAACCAGAGTCAACCGCCCGTTGCGCAAAGAATAACGAGGGGGTCGTATTGGGCGACGGACTTTTGGTCTTTTGGGGATGCATGCTTTTGGTCGTCCGGGGTTGCACGCGGCGAATCGCGCGGCGGGCTGCGCGGCGATCCGGACGAGGCAAGTCTTCGCGGGCTCCTGCAGTGGAATTCAACACGTCAGAACGTGTGCAGATCGCGGATAGAATCCACAAGGTTCTGCTTGAAAGAAACTTCCCACTCGCGGAGATCGGTGAAATGCAGCGGTGTCAGTGAGAAGATTACAGCGAAAGGAGATGAAAGAGAGAAACTTCATAGAAATGTCACTATTATCATATTATAAATATGAATAAGAAGCACTAAAAATGGAGTCATTTAGTGAGATGTTATTTATTGTCAACTCTATATCTTTGCTAATCGCGGCGCTCCTGTCCTTGGGGAGAACTTTCAAAACAGGGCCAATGGAAGGTGACACTAGAACTAAGCTCATGAGAAGGGAAATACGCTCGGGAGAACAGAAATTGCTCACATCCTCCACGAGAAACTCTTCCCCTCAGGCTTAGTCCCAAACACAATAATTGGTTGAATCTCTCCGCTCATGGGATTCCCCCCCCCCTTAACAACAAGCGCCAGCAACCTAAGCGCCCTGATTGCTATAACAGCCTTTTGCTATTCCTTTTCTTCTCTTCCTGCCGCTGCCTTTGAATATCCACGCGTCGGGGGTCGTGTACTCAAGGACCCGTGGTAAAATGTATTGAGAAAATAGGATTCCATGTACAATCACGATACTATCACCGTCTCAGGGAAGTGGAGGACTTTCAAATGCTAGTGCGACTGCTAACCACAAACAGGTGCACGGCGTACCCCGAGCAGGAGTTTTCACTTCAAAACGCTTTATCTGTCAGCGGCCGTGAGCAGACAAATCCTCAGAACAGTGCTTTCAGAACAAATCTGACTCGATCTGATCTGATCACTTCTAATTAGCCTTAGACATCTGCAAAAAGTTGATTATGAAGAAAGTTATGAACGTTTGAATGTCGAAAACTCGCGCCTTCTCAAAAATCGGACCACAAACCCTCAAAAACGGAACAAGGCTATTTTTTGAGAGTGTGGTCGCTGGAAAAATTCATGTTGGTTGAAAGCGCTAATCTTCTAGTTTCTAATTAGCCTTAGACATCTGCAAAAAGTTGATTATGAAGAAAGTTATGAATGTTTGAATGTCAAAAACTCGCGTGTGCACAAAAAACGGAACAACGGGACGATTTTTTGAATATTGAACATTTACAACATTTAAATACTTTGTGGAAAGAAAATATTAGGTTGGCACGATTGAAATGTCGTTTTCGATCATCAATTATTTTCATTATAAAAACAATAATGAAGCACATCAACCTGAACCATCTCCTTCACCTGTGTCACAGGCTCATCACCTTTTGTTACGCAAAGCATGGATGCCTACCGCGTAGAACTCTTTCTGGTTCGACTCGAAGAAGTTGGGCACTCAAATTTTGACGTCGTCGCGGTTATCGAATTGGTTGCTGCTAACAAGGGAAGGATGGTAGGTCGAAGTGGCCGTTCGAAATGAAATGTATACCTCCTGATGCGTCTCCAGACGCTGATTCCAAATCTGCCTTCCAAATCTGCTAAACGACTCTCCGAACGGAGTTATGAAGCGTAATAGCTCAGTGGTGATGGTCCGGGGTGGCAGGTAAAAGCTCGTAGGATCGGTTCCTTTGCAAATTGGTTGCTTTGCTTTTGTCTCTAGAAGTGTTGCGGACAAAAGCAAAGCAACAAACTTGCAAAGGAACCGATCCTACGAGCTTTTACCTGCCACCCCGGACCATCACCACTGAGCTATTACGCTTCATAACTCCGTTCGGAGAGTCGTTTAGCAGATTTGGAAGGCAGATTTGGAATCAGCGTCTGGAGACGCATCAGGAGGTATACATTTCATTTTAACGGCCACTTCGACCTACCATCCTTTCCTTGTAAGAAGTTTGCGCTAACCTGGGTCAGTGAGACGGCGTCGGACCTGGGCTATATGGCGATGGAGGTAGAACGTCCCAGCCCAACTCCTCGATTTCTTGTTGCAAGATTTTCGCGACATGTGGTCTTGCATTATCGTGCCATAATTTTTCATTTGCCGAATTTACCCTTTGACGACGCGGAGCTCGGCCCACGTGGTGGGGCCAGGGTTAGACAAAGTCCAACGCATGGCTCTCTAGCGTGTGAGAGTAATGCCGAGAGTGAACGTACGCACGGAGACACAGACGGCTCGCGCAAGGCGAGTGCGAATGCCGGAGAGCGGTCAACGTCGGTCCAACGTCGGTCCAATGTCGGTCCAACGTAACGGTTGACCCTTGGTGGAGCTGTTATACACAGAGTTCAGCTGTAACTGTATAACCCACAATCAGCATTCCGTGGTACACCGTTGCTATACTATATCACCATATAAAAACATGACTTTGTTTCCGTGGATGTCTGGTTTCAGCTGTCCATCAGCCTCAACCACGGTCATCTTCTCGCGTTGTTATTGGGAAACATCTCTTTGTAAAATGCGGTCAAGAACCTTTTTCCTCTTGAAGTTATGGAGCGAAGTTCCAGTATTGGCAACCAGTACTGCTTGCTCGCGTCGCTCAGAATAGGCCAAACCCATTTTCTATCCTCAAAGGCCTTACAGTCGCACAGTTTTGTGCGGTTTGTCGAGGACTCAATTCGTTGGCTTTCTTTATTTCTCCGTCATCTAGAGCTAGAGGTCAAAATCCACGACCTTCGTCCTCAGGTCCTTTACCTCAGTCTTGGAAGAGCTGAAACCATAGCTGAAAGTGCATCAGAGACTAAGTGTTACTGCTCAATGTTTTGCACACAATGAGTGGGATTCGTTGGCCGTTTTTCCTTGCTTGAATATATACGCTCAGACGATGATTTCTGATCATTCATCTTCGAGCAAAAGTTTTGTCTCCCATCCTAAGAGATTGTGTTTAAGCTGAAACAAACGCACAAACGGAAGCGACATTTCAATCGTGCCAACCTAATAATTCGAAGCTTTTGAATTCTTGTCTCTCGCTATTTTTGTATCCCGTTCCATGGAGTCGCTCCTGATGAAATATATAACCTTTCAAACGAAGAGACTCGTATCGCAACGTGATTACTGCAAGGTTTCGTTTTTGAGTTTATAAAAAAGGGTGATTTGGAAGTTCGAAAGAAACTTGGCTAGTTTTCTGAAAGTAGAAGTCTCTGCGATCACAACCATGCTCGATGTCATAAAAAAATTCTAAATCACTTCTATTCTAATGAGTGAAACCATGTTGCCACAATTCCCATCTTCTGAACCGAACGAATGCGTGAACTTCCCACTGCGCATCACTTCTTTTCATGTCGATAAAAGCCCATACATCGATGGCGAACGTGGAAAGTATGCTACAGAACATAGATTGCTGAGCCTCTTCGATAACAGCCTACCTAGTATCAAAAAAAAATTCTAAACCACTGCTACATATTCAATGAGTGAAATTTCATGTTGCCTCGATTCCCATCCTCTGAGCGGAACAAAGCGCGCGGACTTCCCACTGCGCACCACTTCTTTCCATGTCGATGAAGGCCCATACATCGATGATGGGCATAGAAATATGTAAAAGGACATAAATAGCTAATACAGTAGCTAATACAGGAGGATTGTATCCTTTAGGAAGGGAGTGAAATTTTGGAATTTGCGCGACGCAGGGTTAACCACGAATGGAACCTTTTTTCCCGTTGATTTCAACTTTGAACGAGCAGTGACCACACGACTATATCCAGTATCATGCCAACATACGTCATCCTTACTTGGTAACGTATGACCTAGAAGAATTATAAACCCGTCGCACTCTTGCAGTGTGCATAGCTCCCTTTCTTCAATATACCATTTCTTGTGGATTCCTCATCTTAGCGGGCTATACAGAACACATTGTATGGAAACACATGGTTCTACCGTGCACGGAAAGGTCCATCAAATAGCTGTGATTCTCGCATTACAACATTTTGATAAATTGTTAAGGAAGCAGGATAGAAAGCATTTTGAACAAAGCACGGATACATACCAGAAATGGAGCAGCGGCGTTCACTGCTTGGAGTACGCGTGTAAGCAGAGTAGCTTTCTTCAGCATTTTCACTTCTTCGGTTCGGAGACGGCGAATTTCCTTCTCGAACGCCTCCTCCCATGCATACATTTTCACAACAGTAATGCCATGTAGAACCTCAAATTAAAGATGGCTAGTAAACAGTATCAAAGAGACGTAGTCCGAAAGGCTATTTGGTCTAATGCGTAACATCTACTAAGTCATTTAAGAGTTTCTACCAGGATTATTATAAGGTAAGCTTCATGCTTATGTAGAGAATGTGATCGCTAGAAAAGCACAAGGTATTAGGTTGCTGTTCTTTCTTCTTCATTTTCTTTCAAGATTTTGTTTCTTCTTTGGCAAAGTTTACAATAACATATTCATACGTCATCATTACCGGCTACGTTTTTTCCGCCAGCTTGCATCTTGTGATTGCTGTTTGTTTGAATGTGCTGAGCTCTTCAGGCAAAAAAACACGAAGAAATCCTTTTAACACGTTGACGACATCGCGCGTTTTGGGTTTTTGCACCGCGTGGGACAAGAGCGATTCTGCGAGCGCCGCCGCCATCACATCAAATTCGTGGATTTCGTACGCAATACTTAGATGCGACAAAGTGTTATCAACAATGCTCGATGTGTCTAACTTATCTATTTTAACAGTAACGGAGAGTTCGACTAAGATGACGTGTTATGGATATGAAAAGGCAAATTTAAAGGAATCCTGCACGGAAAAATCATGATTCTATTTCAGCCATAAATCACTGGCTTGAGACTCATTATCCACGATAGAAAAGAACAGAAATATTGCTTTTGTTTTGGTAGAAATTCGAAAAATCGAAAGGGCTGCTACGCGTTCAAAGTGCCCACGGACGTCTTTCACAAATGCTGGCGACGGGGATGCTTCCACTCAGTTCTTGGATTGTCTCACTAGAAACCAGGGTCAACCGTCCGTTGGACAAAGTCCAACGCGACGACGAGAGTAATGCCGAGAGTGAACGTACGCACGGAGACACAGACGGCTCGCGGGTGGCGAGAGTGAATGCCGGCGCGGAGAGCGGTGAACATCGGTCCAACGTCGCTCCAATATCGGTCCAACGTAACGGTTGACCCTGCTAGAAACTCTTTCTGGCCTTCTGCTTTATTGCATTCACATCTCACACTTCTACTCCATCCTATTCTATCGATCGATTTGTCTCTACTCTCCGAAATCGCGCGCTTTAACCCGATTCTTTCATTGCGTCGCCTGATACGTAGCCGGCCAAAGGCCAACTTCTTTCCATGCCTCGCCTTTGGCTCCGCCCGAATTACCTTCGATGTCCATAGAGTGTAGTTTTTGTACGTTTGTTTCTCTTCGGAAACCGAATCTTCATGCGTGAAACTTTGTGTGCTGTTTCCAGTGATCACAACTGACACATTCATGTTAAGAAAGAATGCAAGAATTTTCCGCGAAGGATTCCTTTAACAAAGTTCCGCATAAGCGGTATCAAAATTAATTTGGACTTGGTTGTTTCAGTAAAAACACATATCTTGCCATGCGAATAGGTTTGCGTTCACTTCCATTATTCTTTTTTATCTATGTCCACGTTAATGAAAAGAAAACGAGGAATGAACTGAACAGACATTTTTGTAAGGTCTGGAAAACCTCTGCCAAACTAAAGAATATTTGGCATTCTGTAAGCCACGTGGTTCTTGGATTATGTTGATGTATGGCCTATAAAATGAACACAAAAAACCTTGGGAAGAAATCGGGCATGTGCGCAAAAAATAAATGTAATGGGTGTGGCATACATAGTTGCCACAATGTCCAATGAGGTGCAAAAATGGCTATGTTTGCCGCGCTGCCGTCAAGGTGTTAATTGAGCCCAGCATCGACATCTCCTTTTGGGAATGTATAACAGGTCCGAAAGTTCTATGCGGAGCTTATATCTTACCCTGTACCTTCTTCGTTATTTATGGATGTGCATTGCTGAGCTCTGTCGCGCTTTGCATTGTGAACACAGAAGCGTAAACTAATTGATTAATTATTGCTGACCAGCTTCACCGCTTGATCGAAATTTTTTGTAGCCATTTATCCTCGATACGAGGCAAAGGACCTCGGCTCACAGAAAATCAAGCCTTTTCGGATTACTCACGTCACTGCAGCAGATGTCCAATTCTTCGGAATGCAACGACTGTCTTATCAGTTGATCTGATCCTACGAAGACAATCCCTGTAGCGTCTTACTTTCGAGACAAACGGTTCCAAGGTGGGGGGGGGGCAGCAATAACTGTAGATGTTCTCAGGAACCATAAGCTTCTAAGCCTTTCCGTGATCAACTAAAGCCTGGTGACAAGTCTTACAAAGGGATCGCAGCCTCTTCTCTGGCAAAACGTTTTCATGCTGCTGTCTCAGGATAAGAGCTAATACTCTGAAGCAGGTAGGTAAAAATGGTTCATCATACATGAGCATTGCATATAACAAGGATTTCCTCATTTTATGAAATAGATAGCTGAGTATTGTCGCAGTAAGCACAATCAAACAACATCATTCTTAGTTTCCACATGCGCCTGAAACGATGGTTGCAGTGTCGTTCCAAGAAAGTTCCAACCGGCTCAGAAAACGAAAAAATCTGGGGTGGCATAAGCAACTAACGCGTAGTATAAGGTGAGTCCAAGAACAGAGCACGACTCATGGTTTAAAAGCTTTCTAAGCACTCGAATACGCTTGCCGATGTTTAGAAAGTGAGCATGTTTTCCGGTGGGAATTCGGAGTCAGCGTTTAACATGTTGAAGACACGAAATTGCCTCACCTCTTTTGTGAACTTGACTCGATTGTCCTTCATTTGCATTTGCCTTGTCTGGAAATGTGAAAAATACGTTGGTGGATTCAAACTCTCAAAACGGAGTGAACCGCACCTGATAGGACTTGATAATGAGAGAAAAGCAGTAATTGAACGGAACGTAGAGAATCATGATGATGACCGCACCAATAACCGGAGGTCCAATCGTTAAATAAACAAGAGATAGAGCGATGGTGACCTGAAAAGTGAAGTGAGATGAGGTGTCTCTAGATTTTTTCCACACTGGCGTGGATGACATTAGGGGCGTTTCATCGAAGAGCCGCGCGGAATGATCTCATATGTGATAAAAGAAGGCATGCTCTTTTAGCAGAGACTGCGCCAATTTTTCGTATGTGGTAAGTTAGGAACCAATAAAAACTGGAGCTGTAAAAGTGATAGACCTTGTAGGTGACATCGCCTAATTGATCTCACAGTCAACTAGTGAACTCAACTAGCGTTTCTTTAATTTTAGTGTTCTTTTGAATATTCTTCTGAAGTCAAGCGCAAATTTAACGGCTCTTGGCGTTCCCTTCCTTCTTTGTGTTGTTTGACTAATCTCCACTCCTACATTTACTTTTGATTGCCATACTCGGCTGTGGTAGACTGCGAGTTTGAGAGGCCAATTCCACTTAACGGGATGTGGGTGATAGCAGTAGATGATATATGATACAACAATGAAGCAAGGATCAGAAGCATTCGCCTTGAACGTCTTGAATAGATCTTCCAGTTTCTAGCGGTTTTCCGGTATTGTATGAGTTAACGGTGGAAGGATGGGTGCATGAATGATAGGCAATGGGTGGCCGTCAGGGAAAAGAGCCAGTAGCCTCTAGACTGGTCAAGTCGTGGCTCTAATGCCGGCACCTCCTTTCTCTCCTCCCCTTTAGACCTCGTGATGGTACGTACCGCTACCTTTAGCAGGTTAAGACACCTTTTCTCGTTTGCCACTCCTCTACAAGCGAGTTTATCGCAGACTGTAACGTTGAATTTAACGCCACATGTGCGTACTATGATGAACAGATACTGAATTTAATATGAGTCTCCATTTATGGTGTGGGGATGGTGAATTGTGATATTTCGTAGTTTGTGAAATGCATGAAATGCTAGAATACCCGCTCAATGTTGAGATGAGGGAGAGTATCAATATATGCAGTGGCGGTCAAAAGTTAGTAACCCTCACTTGACTTTCGAATTGAACACGTCGTTATCATGCTTTCAACATTGGCTCTTCAATGACTCTAGTATTATTCGGCGGCGTTTTTCAGCGCAAAGTCCCTTTCGTGTTCCACCTTATCTTAGAAGGATCAAACTTACCAGGAAAGGTCATTAGGCCAACCCGGCCAAATGAAATGAGGTGCACATTTCTGTACGCAGCATGAGACGCTGAACTCAAATCTGCTTTCATTATCTGCTGAACTCTTCTCTGAAAGGAGTTACGGAGGGTTTTTGTTGCCGCCCTTGATTTTCAGTGTCTTGCCTGCAATCACATGTTAGCTCCATTATAAAAGTATCGAAAGGAAGAACCGGGTGAGAGTGAGCTTCGGTAGCGCAGTTGGTAGCGGTCTTGCTTCTCAAGCAAGGGGTTGGGTTCGGTTCCGCCGGGTTTGGTGTTTTGCTTTTTGTCAACATAGCTAAAAAGCCTTTTTGAATCCGTTATATTATCAGTGGTTGCCCCACGCTGCCCGTAGTGGAGGTACCAGCTTTCCCGTGGCAAGTAGGTGCGATATTCGTATTCAGGGATCAAACTACCCTAAACGAGTTTTTCGCCAAACCTGAGGTCATGAACTAATTGAGAAAAAGCGGAGCAGTGATGGGATTACCACTCCTCAAACTCCACTTTTTTGGGTTGACCAATCATGGACGACGGGGGAAGGAGAAGAGAGGGTTGTATTAGGAATAATGCCTTGCAGATCTTTCGGATGATGCAGACGGGCAAGCCAGACACAATTTTTGTCTATTATGAAAAGTGTTTAAAAGGTTTATTCTACCCAAGTGCCAGCCTTTTGTAATGGATTGGTGGATCGGTGAGTAAGTGACTGCCCAAATTTTCGAGGTTAGGTCAAAATTTCAGAATTCGCTAGAAGTTTGCTCAAAGGGAGAGTCTGGCTCCCTGATTACGAATATCATACTTGTTCGAAGCAAAAATGCCTGGCGCCTGCGCTACAAGCGCCCAAAGTAGTGAGGAGCGATGCCGCCCAAGTTCGTTATTAATTGCCCTTAAATTCTTTGTACTGTTAACTATACGCAAGCATGTTGGACTAGCAATGTTAGGAATCTTCCTAGCTATCTTACTGCAAACGGCAAAAGAACAAACTCGCCAGGGAGTCGATCCCCTGACCTCTTTTTCGTGAGCCTCGACCACAGCCCCTGCGCTTTTCTGCTTCATAATTCCTTTCAGAGAAGAGTTCAGCAGATAAGGAACACATATTTGAGCTCAGCGTCCCAAGGCGCGTATACACATATACATCTCATTTCAATTGGCCGGGTTGACCAAATGACCTTTCCTGGTTAGAGGAGGTCGGACTTTTACTATTAGAATCACGAATCGTTTGAGCTTTCTACTGCTCCTTGCGAATTTGCTAGCACACTTCTGAGTTGACAACACTGGATGAAGCATGCTGGACGGTCACTCAAAAGGAACTCTAGGAAACCAGAAGGAACATGACGATGCCAGATCATGTTGGAGCTGATTCGAGCGCAAAGCATATGTGACAAATTTATAAAAACTTTCGACTCTGCAGAGATGTCTGCATTCATCTTCTTAACAAGTCGGATTGCTCTGATAAATAGCGACTGGCCTGTTCAGATCCAATATCAGTGGCGCTGGGTAGAGCAGTAAGATTACCAGTCGAGGGGTAGTTGGAGTGTGAGTTATCTTCATTAAAGAGCCACAGCGATGAGCCACAATTGCGCAAATAGATAAAGCGTGCGCTCGATATCTGCTGGTTGATCCTCTATGTTGTTGGGCGTTGAAAGATCCTAATCAGAAGTGATTAAGAGGGGAGCTCAAAAATAGGTTCCAGGAAAAATTGAAGTATCAGCCACGAAAGGCAGCATGTAAATGGGCCGAGTAATCGCTCAGGTATGCTGGTGCTACTTCGCAAAACATGTTTCACGCCTTCACCATTTTTCTTGGATTTTTATAGCAATAAATGTAAAGTGAGTCACTAATTATAGGGCAACCTTATAACATACACTCACAGGTATGCGAGTGATACAACGCGGCACCCGATTTTTTGACGAAAAGAAGACTCTCCAAAGAGCGAGGGGAATGAGAAGATCTCTATACCATTAGACTCGTCTCTCTGTGGCAAATCTGGCTTCATGCAAAACTACAGAATTGGCTGGACGGGACAACCAGTTGATCCGTGGAAAACGGGACCCAGTTCTTATGATGATTTCATGTTGTCTCCCTTCAAGTCTCTCGCCGCTCGGTATAACTTGCGTTTGTTGAAAAAGTTTCACCGTGTTCATGGCAATCAACATTAGCAAGTTATCTGCATGCACAAATTTTAGTTAAATGCGAGAAAGATAAGCACTACCAATGTGCTGAACATCTTAGTATCGTGTATTGTAAAAGCCTATGTTTCTCAACTTCTGCAAAAGTACTTGCTCAAGAAATAAGTGTCGAAAACGAGAAAGTTAGTTTAGGCACATGGATTATTCCGTGTCCCATGACTATTGTTTTCCCCTATATTACATTCGAAGTGCGTCCATAACGTTCCAAATCCAGCTTTTCGAAATTTCCCTATTTTATTTGCAGTTGAACCTCTTTGTCCTATACGAGGGTTGTGATTACTCCATCGCTACTCTATTTAAACACAACGAGCTTATGATGAAGTTTAATCGAAGTTATTTGCTTTCTGAAACGATGTGATTGCTTCTAATCATTCACGCAATGTTTACTGATCTGCTTAACGTGCGCTGTGGAAGTGGTCAACTCTCAAAGGAAAACGCCTTTTTTGATTATCGGAAGCTGTATCCACCAGACACCTCTCACACCTGTGAACTTCACACGAAGACTCCTGCAGTCACCGCCTCCAAAGAATAATGAAATTATGACAACCGTCTTCGAACAGACGTCGGTGTTCTATTGCAACTTACAAAAAAGAAGAATAAAAGTAAAATTAGAGAGAAAAAGGGACTGCCTGGTGGAAATCTAGCTATGGAGGGCCATTTCTTGCTATTTCATACCTGGGCCGAGAGAGCATCTTTGGCTTCAAGGATAAATGCCGCGATAGAATGCTAAGCGATAAGGATGATATACAAGAGTCATTAACACTTTTGACAATACCGGTGGATGCGCTAACATTCCACACACACACTACTACACATACCCCATCCAATTTTCGTACCAGGAAATCCATCCTGGATCTCTTGCACCCTAAAATCGAGGCAAAAATCTCTATTTTCCTAGTTTAGGACCGTTGCCGGCCAAAGTGTGGAAGCGCGGATTAGGATGGCCTTCATTCCATCGAGAACACTCCGCAAGGTACGCATCACCCTTCATCATAAGGCAAAGATCGGATCGACTCTGAACGTGGGTTTTTCCAGCCTTCTCGTGTTCAAGTTAGCCATAAGAGAGCTCCAGCTACAGAGCTTCTTGTTTGGACTACACGCTCATTATACAGCCCCAAAATCACTTTGACAGATGACCCCTCCCCTTTATGCTATCTCGACTGCTATAAGCTTAGGCAAACTCGGTGATGGCGTTTTCGTTGGGACACAACTATAATATTATACAATACTTGGAAACGACTTCCGTGTAATCAGTGCAGTATCTTCAGACAAAACTCCTCATATCTACTAAATCCTTTTACAAAGAACCGTTTAGAAATCACTACTGCATTCAAGAAGATATTTCATGAAAGAGCGTGCAAGTGCAGACTGGAGAAGCAGAATTCACAAGAAGGGAACAATGTTTCCCCTCCCCCACTTGTGATGATCCGCTTTCAAAAAAAGGATTTTCGTATTTTCAAGGTAATATTTGGACATTCCGAGTAATATTTTCCGGTTTCTTCAGATAACGCATCGTGTTTTTCACTTAATTATTTATATATACAGGGGTGGCCAAAAAAAAGAGACACTTCACTCAACATTCAAAACGGAATTATTTACGCGTCGCGAAACCAAACCAAATGACCCCAACTGAATATTGAAGAGCACGTTATAATCTATCAACAAGCTACACAACAGCCTTCTACACCGACGACATCAGAAGATTTTCCCACGGAAGCATTGTGCACGGTACGAGCTCAACGAGGTCGTTCGAGATACCATAGACGATTACGACGTCTCTGAAACGCTGGTCAAAAGGCGCCATGGGCTGAGTGTCCATTTTTTTGGTCACCCCTGTATATAATATCATCCGTGAAATTCAGGCAATTTCTCTGTTCATTAGCCCCGATAGCTCAAAAATGAAGAAGCTTCTAAACCGGACTGCTACCATATTCGCTGAATAGTGACAGTGAAGGAAATAAACAACCAAAACAAATACGTCAAAGCTTCGATTTTTCAGAAGGAAATTGAAATGCGTTTTGGGACTCATAACTAGAACCTACGAACACTCGAGTACCTCGAGCACAGCTGACCACATATGGTGAGCGTAAGGCGCCGCTGCGGCCAGCGCTTCAGCATCTACCGTTACTAAGTTGACCACTCGCCCAGTTGGCCACTGCACACGTGACCAACTCGCAAGACGTAAGCTCTGAAAGCTCAAAAAGTAAACCTTGGAAATTTATTTTCACAGACTGGACTATTCAGAATGGTACCTTCTTTGAGACGGAGTTAATAATCAGAGCAAGTGCTGTAGACGCATCTCGAACGACAAGGTAGTTGTGAATACCTAAGAATTTCTCTCACGAAATGACTTCTACGAATAAATATGTATATTATTGAATTACGCAATAAAAAGAACTAGCTCAATGGGTCAATGCCCAAAACAAGCAGCGCGAGCAACATTCATCAGCACATCGGTTTTGGAGCTGTGTTCTATTATTACATCTTGATGTGGTATAGACTCTGTACTCCACGAGATATTGTTCCTACTTTTTCAGACTCTAAAAGAGGCATCTCAAAAGAGCAAGCTCGAATAACTTTCTCTGAGTAGCTTAAAATAGGCCGTCCTCGAGCGGAAACGACCGTAGGTTTAGAAAGATGCATAAAGTAGTTTGTGAAATATTGGTCCAGAAAGTTCTCTGCAGCAGTGAGAACCTCAACTATGATGGTGGTTGGATTAAGCGTCACAAACTGTAAATCTCAAAGTGCGATGAGGAAGACAATTTGGGATTGCCGTTATGTGGCCTGCAGCTGGTGTAGCTCTCAACATGATGCGTAAAATGACGTTCGCCTGAATTCATGCCTTAACACGTTGACGACAACGCGAGTTTTGGCACTTTTGGCCACGTGGGACCACGGCGTTTTTGCGAGCGCCGCCGCCTCAGGTCGTTCAAGCAAATTTTGAGTGATAAAAACATAAATAATGATCAATACAAGGCCAGATCAATATATTGTAATGAGCACAACCTACTCGGAGGTACAGTAGCGGAATTTCTATTGAAAGACATGGAATAACAATGAAAAAGTGATATTCTTTAGAACAAGCTGCAATGAACTTCAAAGGCAATTTTAAGTTGATTATTTTAATCAAAACACATATATTGTCATCTCTAAGGTACCGTATCTACTTCTACTACTATTTAAACCTTCACATTCATAGGAAGAAAAAGTAAACGAAAAATTTATTAGGCTGAAGATTTCGTATGGTTCAGAAATCCTCCTCCAAATTGAAGCATACGTGACCATTCTATGGACCACTATGTTTTTAGCTAGGTCAAGGTCTCCTCCATTCAATAATTACAAGAAACTTCTAGAAGAACCAGGCGTGCGCGAAAAAAATTAGTGTAATGGGTGCGGGGGATATATATCCCGCACGGTCCGACACGGCCTGCAATGCGCGGGATATATATCCCCCGCGTTGTCGTCAATGTGTTAAAATCTCGCAATAAGCAACTGAATGAATAGACCGTCGGCTTTCTGCGAGGAAATGAGATTGCAAAGGTTTCTACTCCGAATGAAAGCGCTTCAATTTTGCTAATGTGTATGCTTTGAACTTGGAGACCACAATCGACGGAACTACAGACCCCACACATGCGGTCTGTGAGTACCTTACAGTTCGCGTGTATTTTAATAGTTACTATTATCCCCTTCCGATCATAAACATCTTCATAAATTAATCAAATTTATCTGAATTCTTAACGCTTTTGGAGCAATCGGGAAACGGACAAATCTCAGAATTGTGAACACAGTCACTAAAACAGGTGGAATTACAAAGAATAAAGTGATAAAAACTGATACCTAACAACAGTGATTTGAGCTCTCCACATACGAACATGATTACACAGATTGTGAGGCTCTTTGTTATGAGCCCTGGATGAGAAGCTGACTCTATAAGGAATCTGAAAACTTATATTAATATGATATCTTGTGTGGACGATTCATATATCCAGTTTATTGCAACAAGTACACAGTGAGTGGCTAAGCGGGAAGAAAGCGTGCCGTAATGCACTGAACGAAAGATTCTAGCGCTAGCATTATGGTGAGGATAAAGTGAGTCTATACCCTGGAATTATATGCACGAGTAGATTCGGTACACCCGTTTTCCTTGCCGACGGTAGTTCCGACGGCAAGGAAAACGGGTATAGCGTTTCGTGGCGAAAAATTTGGTTACATAGTCCTCGACTGAGGCAAGCGTCAATGTGGGTGCCTACGTTGGTTTGGGAAACCACTAAGAGAAATTAATAATTGAAGACGATGTTGGACCGAAATATCACGGAAGTTCTTGAATGAATTCTTTTTGATTTTTTGGCTGGTATTTTGGGCTTCTTGGACTTTTGTGGACTTCTGGAATTTTTTTGAAAAATATTTTGGTGCCTCTCTGTGCTATACAATTAAGGTCCTGATGACGCTCATGGACAGCACAATACTGTCTGATTAAAGTAATGCAGTTATGTAAACTCCATTGCAAAATACGAAGGTGAAGCAATCGCTCCGTCTCCGAAACTGCTCCACCTTAGCGATGTTGACGGCACCCTTGATGAAGTGTATCACAATACTTCACATTCAGCGGCCGGACATAAAGTGGATGATGGCCAATGCCTATGAGGATATGATGCTTACATCGGTCGGCAATTTCTAAGGTGGTTTTTTCCGTATCTTCGTAAAAGCGTTTTGATAAAATCGTTGAACGAGCGGGAATCCCGCCCACAGAACGAGCGTACAAAGCCGACCTAACAGTCTTTTCGTACATCTCCTTGTGAAGTCAACAAAACTTATTTTTAATCATGTTGTGCCAGGAATCCAATAACCGGCACAAGGTAATAGAAGCTATTTAAAGCGACAGAATCAACTTCTCACTTGAGCAGTAAGGGGTTCATAAAATCGAACACTTCAGCAAGCAGTTTTGAAAGCACTGCACCAAACACGGACCAGCGATATCTGACCAAAAGCTTTCGAACTATTCCATCTTTAGTTCCTGAACCGAGAGTCATATATCATTGTTACGTACATCATATATCATAGAACCTACCAATTTTCCACTTTCTGAGAAGGTTTATGGACCGATATTTCTGTTTCAGAGATGGAAGATCATCGTATATGAGAGTCTTCTTCGATCCTGAAGTGACCAAAAGCGTGAGTATGTTTTTGGTTGCGCCTAGATCCTGCTATAGTTTCAAAGACTTCATCTTCTAGAGCCCGAAAAGCTTTGACGAGCTCAGAAATTTCGGAAATTCTCCTGCGAAAAGGCAATGCTACAATGTGTGTCCAAAAAAGGAAAAAAACCATGAGCTTTTGACTGAACAATTCACGCAGCCTCTCATTCAAAATCTGTGCAGCAGTAGTTGACAACACTAAGATTGAGGTCAAGT